TTGTAAATTAGAGAATAAAAAACAAGAAATAGAACAAAGTAAAAAGGATAAACAATTGATAAAAAAATATAAAGATAAAGGATATCTGATTATAAGAAATTACTTAAATATTCAAAGGAAGAGAAGCATTAAACTAAAGAAAGTGCATAAATGAATAAAATTTAAGGGGCAATATTAAAGAAGAAAATTAAAAAAAAATCATAAAAAATATAAGAAGTACAAGAAGTATAAAAACTACAAAAAAGCATTCCAAAACAAAGGAAATTTGACATTATAAAATCTTCGAAAGTTATAAGGGCTATAATAAAATTAACAAAAGAAAAAGATAATTATGAGCAGAAAGATTTGAATAAAGGAATAAAAAAGAAATTTAGTAAATAATAAGTAAATAATTAGTAAATAATAGCAAACAATTATCAAATAATTAAAAAAAACATTAATAAAATATTTTTTAATTAGTTTTTACAATTATTTTCAAATTCAATATTAAAATTAATAAAAATAATTATAAATTTTTCAACTTGTTCCAAATAAATTTATAATAATTTTTTTTAATAAATTGAATATAATTAGTATTTTTTTTTAAAAAAAAAAATATTTATTAAATTTTTAAATTTCAAAAAGTATCAAACTAGTATTAAAGTAATATTAATTTAATATATGAATTGTGATCTATTTATATAAATTATAATTTAAGTATTAAATTAATGTTGAAATAATATTATTAAAAGTTTTTAAAAATATTAAATTCTTTATCTTTATTTTGATTTTATTTTGATTTTTTTTTCAAAATTGGTTTATTTTTTATTTATTAATTAAAAACATATTTACTTTTTTTAATTAAAAAATAATCCTATAATTATTTAGAAACTATTTATTATTTTATACAAAATAAATTGTTTTATATTTTTTTTAAATAAAAAACATGTTTATTCTTTTTTTAAAAAACAAATTAATCTTTTAACAAAATAAATATATAATATATTAATGAATATATTAAAATCAATATTCTTTTAAATTTCTAAAGAAGAAATATAATAAATACAAAAAATTTTTAATAATAGATAAAAAATACTTAAGAAAAATAAAAATATATTATATTAATATTTTTAATTTAACAAATTTTAAAATCATTCAAATTCAAATTCAAAACTGAAATTTTTTTAACTTTTCAGAATTATAAAATTTTTATTATAAAATAATATTAATATAAAAATCCAAATAATTAATAATATAAACTTTATAACAAATATATATATATCTAAAAAAAAATACTTTAATTTTTTAAAGATTTTAATAGCCATGTTATTTAAATTAATCATTTTAAACTGATTAAAAATTTTTTAATTTCTTTAACAAACTAAATAAATAAACATTAACAATAACAATAGTAATTAAGAATACTTATATTAATACAAATATATAGATATATTTTAAAAACACGTTAATATCAAAAAATCTAATTTCACTAATAATTTTCAAAATAAAAAAACCTTACTTGAAATTGACGCTTAATATTAGAGGTTTTAACAATAATATCAAATTCAAATATTCTCTAAAATATATAAGTAATATTGATTAAAATAATTTTTAATTTTTTCATTATTTATTTAAGCAACATTAATAAAAGTTAAATAAAAAGTTTTTTAAAATTGTCTTTATATACATATATATATATATTAATAAAATCAAATATAAATATATTAATCCCACAGGATAAAATTATATAGATCAAATCTGAATTATAAATGCCAATACCTTACAATTCACAAAGATTCAAACAATTAATACTGAACCAGAATTCCAAAGTAATTACAAAATAATTACTTTTATACCTTTTAATTTCTCATTTTAAAACATTATACAATTATAACAAAGCTACAAACAAAACCTGAATAGTTATAAACTTAATTCTTCAATATTAATTCAATTTTTTTCTAATTAATAAATTAAACCTTCAAAGATTATATTTCAAAAACAAAAACTGGAAAACAATTTCCAACTCATCAAATTTTACATCTATAATCTCTTTACTGTTCGAATAAGTATATTTATTCACTATATTTATTTTTCTGATAATTTTATTAATTCTATTACTGTATATACCATCTAATTATAGTAAAAATTGGAATCTTAGATCCTTACCCTAAAATGATTTGTCCCCTCATAATTTATCGCAAAAGTGACATGGAGTTGTTGGAGTATTACAAAGGTTCACACAAAAAGCTGTGGAAAACAACATTCATGTCAAAGGGTGATACATGTCATAGACAAAGCTTATTTGTCGAAATTCTATTTTTGTGCCGATACTTTTATTTTTTTTTCTTGAAAAATTTCAGAATATTTACAAAGCTTCGGAATTACAATCATTTGACTGATGAAATATTAAGTATTATCAAATGCAAAATTATTTGTACTATGATGTATATTGTAATATTGTGCGTGGTAAGTAAGTACCAGGTATGCATACTAAAAATTCTAATGCACTCAAATTATGTACGTACGAGGAGATGGGGAAGGGGGAGACAGATGAAGCGGGTTCGATGCGTTCATGAACGGGGTGAGTTTTTTGGAATTCTGATGAGATGAAGGACCAACCCAAACACTGAATCCCAAATAAAAACACCATCGTTCAGAATCGATCGGGTGTTCATTCGTCAGTTGACTTTCCCAACCTCCATTTCACCTCGAAAACATTGTCCTGCAAATTAATCTTCAAGACGAACATTGTCCTGCAAGTTATCCTACCAAGCACCCGTGTCCTCCCAGCTGGCACCACCTATAATTTCTTTTAAGCTATTCTCGTCAACCGAACTTTTTTGCCATCCACTCAACAAACCCTCCGGTTCGTTGGTGATACTCTCAATATCTTCTTCGGTGATACCGGCTGCATCACCCATCGTTATGCAACCTAAATGTCCCGACTTTCTCCTCAGCTGTGCCAGGTATCTCAGCGAGTCACACGTCACCAATCGGCATCCAATTATGGTAAGGCACACGAGTGAAAAGCTGTGATTTGATATGACATTGATTGCATTATTCGTTATGGCGTTCAAATAAGAGAGATCGAGTAATTGAAGATTTGGACATTGTCGCGCCAACATTGCAATCGAAACATCCGATATTTCGTCATTATCATGACGACGCACATGTGTGGTCGCGGGATGTAGCGAAGGATTGGCCAGTGCCGAAGGGTAGCTTACACCCCACGGAGAAGGACGTGCCAAATTCAACCATTCCAAATTTTCTTGACAGGTGTTGGCAATCAACTGGACAGCCGAGTTAGTAATGTGACCGATTCGAGAAACATCCAACCAACAAAGGCGCGGGCAATTCATCACTAACGCCTCAATCGAGTGATCGCCGAGTCTCGGACAGTCCGACAGGCGAACTTGCCTTAGCTTTGGACATCCTCGAGCTATCATTTGAACACCTTTGTCGGTGATCTTGCAACATTCAGCAATATTTAGAGAGGTCAGCCCTTGACATGATTTCGACAGCATCTTAAGTCCAGCGTCTGTGATCTTTCGGCATCCACCCAAACTCACGGACGTCAAGGAGGTCGCGCAACGATGAGCCGAAAGGGAGTCCAATGCGGCATCGGAGATGTGCGTGCATCGATTCAGGTTGATGCGACGCAAGTTGGGGCACGTGAGAGCGATGGTTTGCACGGTGGCGTCAGTCACAACTTCGATTTCGCTTAAATCAAGAATTTTAATAAGCGGACCATATCGTTCGATGGGAAAATTCAAGGGAAGTTTCGATTTCGCGTTTAACGCCAATTTCGATTTCGCGGCGGCAGAGGACGTGACGTCGTCTTTTGCGGTCATGGGGTCCTGGACCGGAGAATCTGTCGGGGAAGTCGCGGAAAAGGAAAACCGGTGATAGATTTGAGGAGCCCTGTATAACAGGGGGGTGAGCAAAGCCTTCCAAAGGTTGCACACAAAGAGACAGGAGTGAATGTCCTTGTGAGGCAACGATTCGAATATGCATAACATTATCTCCGGGGGCATGTGTCGTATGGTGGTCTTGACAGATTTTGGTTTCGTTATTGAAACGGGGTTCACAGTATTGTCAACGCGTGGGAACGACTGATGACTCTTTATCGATTGGCGAATTCTCATGGGCACGGAGGTTTGGTCTCTTCTCTTTCCGTCTCGAGACGTCGAACTTGCTGAGGTCATGTTGCTTGACAGAGAATTTTCGTCAATCGATCTACGCTTTGGTTCCCCCGAGAGCCTACCGCTCGAATTCGAAGTGGATGTGACGTTTCGTAATCTCTTCTTTTTTCCATGACGTGACGTCGCTGTCGGTGCTGTGTGTGGCCAACTGCTGAATGCACTATTATCATTATACTTGTTGTACGTGTGACTGCTGGTGTTATCCGTCGTTGCCGAAGAACTGAAGGAATCCATTAGGTAGCCCACGTTCTTCGTCACGGCACCTTCGAACAGGACATCGGCTAACGACAGAATGGGCCTGCAGAAGAAGATAATTGTAGAGGCCCAGAGGTTGAAGCCTATGGCTAATATGCCTAACATGTTCACGGAAATATCTTGTGTGATAAGAGTTCCGATAGAGTTCGCGTGCTCTGGTATTGTGTGCCAACAATAACAGAAAGAGGTTTCGTTTTTTTTCAGTGTATTTTTGGTAGCACTGTGTGTAAGTTCTGTGGCAAAGACAAATTTTTTTCTAACAAATTTTTTTTTCTTTAATATATATATATATACTGTATGTGTATTTATTTTTCTCGTTCCGATTTCTTTGAAAGAGCAATCGATATTTATAATGTCGTCGTACGCCACGAAGATATCGACGTCCAGGTCAAGTAAAAATCTTGGTGTTCTTCTAACCAGACCAGTTTCGCGGTGTTGAGGACCTGCGAGAGAAAGGAAATCAAAAAAAAAAGTTATCAGACAATAGAACTGAACCACACGTCCGTATATATAAGTATATATCTATATATATAATTTTTATAGTATACACATATATATACGTACAATAATGACTACTGTAAATTGGTTGTTAAATCAAGCATAAAAAAAAAAGCACGATTTTTTTTTATGCACACGTATAAATATTAGTTGAAAATGGCATCGACACTATAAAATTAGGGGTTCTTTCAATTCAAAAAAAAAAAAAAAAAAAATCCTGGTTCTCAAAAAAAAAACACACACACACACACACATCATTATTCTATACTACACTTATATATACTATATGTAGAAAATAAAATCTCAAATAAAATCATGCATGTTAATTTGTAAATATTACCTTTTTTTTTCTTTAAGAAAAAACTTTTAAAGTTTGCCCGTTAGTGAAACTTTGTATTTGACGCCGAATTTTGTCACACGTCGAATAAAATAATTAGGCATCAAAAAAAATCTCTAAGAGGGTGATTGCTTGCAATTTGTGCCTCGGTTGGAATTATTATCCAAATAACGTTGTTTTTGTGTATTCAAATACAAAATTAATTACGTTTTCCATGAGAATGTTCTGATCTGACCTGACCGTGATGTGCATGCGCATCAGTGTTTGGAACGTCAATTGGTTTTGACGTGGTTAATCTCGCTGACCTGTTCGGAACAGCACCAGCGGACTCGTCGGTTTTTTTTTTTTATTGTATTCCCATGAAAAAACCATGGTGGGTCCGGCTGGACCGGAACAAGTGTTAGGAGTATAACAATCCTTTTTTCTGGCTGGGTTACCTTGCGCTTGGTTGATTATCGGAATATTTACAGTAATCAGGTGTTGGAATTGTATGAGCACAAAACAAGTTATCACGAGGTTCTTACTCGGTCGACACACAACACCATCCCATCACGTCTGTCAAAAAAGCAGATTATTATTATCATTACTTATTATTACTTATTATTCACTTAAACAATAGATTGTTAATTATTATTGAAAAAAAAAAAAAAAAAGATCATTATCGTGTTGACCCGGAGCTTTATCCATTTTTTCCTATATTTGGATTGGACCCTGGTAGCGACGGGACAACGTGAATTTGATGAGACTTCTGCATCTTCCTTTGGAGAGGTGCTTGCAGGAGCCGTTGCGGATGTGAAAAGAGCGATACGAGAATGCACGTCTATCATGCATAAACGACCTTACCGGGACATGTGCGTAATTCACATAAAAAAGTCCATTTGCCTTTTTCGATTGATCTCTCGAAACATTCCAATAAATATACTGTATGCGCATCACCCTTTTTTTTTTTTTACCTCATCCAAATCACCTCGTTCCTGCATATGCGTGGTGCATTGTTCCGATGCCGCCCAAAAAAAACTCTTGAAAATCGGTTATCTCGGATGCAGACTTTTTTTTTTTTTTTTTTTTAAAAAAAAATTTTTATTGCACATTCCTATGGTTTATTTGCAATTCGAGAGACAACAAAGCCTCATCAAACCGCACTGTTCAATGACGCTTAGATCTCAATCAGTAAGAGAAGAACAACCATCTCGGGTCAATCATCAACGACATGTTTACACTGACCAATTGAAGTGTCGAAAGCGGAAGATTGCGTCTTGCGGTTTGCTTTTTGCTAACAACGGTACAAATTCTTATTTTTCTCGTGAGCACATTATAGTACGATGACGATTGATTGATTGATTGATTGATTGATGATTAGCAATTTTGTAAATGGCTCACATCCAGTATCACCATGACTAACCTAAATTTTATAAAAACAAACCTACATTTATATTAGGAAAAAGTATTTCTCACAAATCCTATGACGTAAGAAGAGATTTACATTTCAACTTTCTGATGTTCGAGTTACGCAGTTAAATTAACAACAGATGTACGTAACAGGTCACTCACTAGCCAACTAATTCGAGGTCTATAAAAAGATCATGTCGCAAATTGGATATGGCTTTCGTATGGATCTACATCTCGACATTTTGACGACAATATCACCATCGATCAATTCTTGGACACATCTCTGATGGAAATTTAAAGTATAGATCGTGGAATTCAAAAGAAATCGAAAGAATTAATAAAATAAAGGTAAATAAAGGATGCATTCATTTCGTCATTTTACTTCACCTATCGTATCGTTATGATTTAATCTTACGCCTGAACTAAAATCAGAAACTTAGAACAAACAAATAAACAAACAAATAAATAAATAGCTAGGTAGGTAAGATAAATTAGTAAATCGATACGTAAATGCTTACATGCGTGTAGAATTTCGAACATAAACTAAACCCGAAATTCTCCAATACCTGACCAAGAAAAAAAAAAAAAAAAAACCACATATACACAATATACAGTATATATTTTATATAATAGATGTATGGTTTGGAGAGCACACCGCAAGATCAAAGTACGGTCCCAGCCTAACTTCGTGTCCATGCCAGCGCCTGGGTAATTTCAACGAACGAAAGGTATCACGCCAAAAGTTCTGGCAAATGAAAAAAAAGAATGATGATGCGTTCAAGCATATACGCATACCTTCATCCATTCACGCTTGGCTATATTACGAAAGTATGATGCAAATGGGAACAATTTTAGCTTGCATGGAAAGGTCATCAAACTCCAAGTGCGTGTGAGTCGTGCGTCAGCAATGGCAATTCTCTTTGGACATCCAGATGAATAAACAAAAACCTTAAATTGTTTGGATCGATAGCTGTGTTTGACAAGGAAAGACGGGTGTGAAAATTTTCTCGCATACAAGGCAGCATTAGGTGTGAGAAACACCGGTGTAACAGGTTTCCTAAAATTTTTGGTGCCGGTGTACCTGCCAAATTCTCCAACTCTATTCCTAAAGCTCTGCTAGTATTATTTCACCTAACAATCCTAGACTAATCTCAAAATTACACAGATGCATCTATTAGGGACATGGAGGAAATTATTATGCCGTACGTAATGAGGCAGGAAGATCATGATTAAAAAGAAGAAAAGTTAACGCCCTCCACGTACTGTGTGATAGGTGAGCAGGCAAGTTCTTTCTTAGGACGTTTTCCTACGTCAAGAGCCATCCAATCACCTTCTCTCTGAGATCCTGCAAATGTGTGTGGCAGTGTACACTTGAACGGCATTAATTTCTGCACCGGGTCGACGAGGTTTCCGTATGATTTCTGTCTGACACATCATTTCTTCATATTGTACCAAGATGGTATGTTTTTTATGTAAGAGATATCATAGTGCAAAGAATGTTTGTAACACAAGGCTTCATACTGCACCACAAGAAGATGACTAAACTGATTATGGCAGGGGTACGGCATTCCCTACTTATCCAGTATTTGTTGGTATTTGGTGATTTCTTTTTTTTTTTTTCTTTTAATGAAAACAATGATCACGTTAGTCTTCACGTTTTTAAGCCACGAAACAAAGGTGATTGTGAAATGTCTTTATAGCACCGTGAAAAAATGTAAACAAGAGACACCGAATGACACGAGATCAAAACAATGAGCGCTAATAAATGATTATTACTGTCGTGCATATCGTATCCATGCACGTAACTCTTATCGTAATTTCAAACTTAAGTCTCACGCGCCAGACGCTTCACACAATTTTGGCAGGTCAACAATCTCCATTTGGTGTGTGTACGTGTGTGTGTGTGTGTGTGCATTTTCATGATGATATCCCCGTATTTATGTATGTGACATCTAGGAGGGTAGCATTCCGAAAGTTCAGAAAAAACGAGCAAACACGAAAATCGACCTAACCCCACAGGGAAGCAGAAAATCTCGTTTTGAGGAGGTAATTCGGTTGCATCATATTACTACCATTACACGAATGACGATCACAGTTACCTTTATTTGGGTTGGATGTTCACATAATTTCGTAATTTATTAATGCAGTTTTTTTATCAAAAATGGCTATTGACGTATACTAGACCTTGCCATTAATATGTTTATCACATAATTAATATAATCCGCGATTTTCCTACAAATTACATAGATAAGAATTATCGGAGGAACATAACCAATTATCGACGTGCAAAAAATTTCGGAGAAAAGCATGCATCCCCTTCCGGAGTGATTAAGATAGCTAACTGCA